CTCCATCTATCCATCTTCCAACCCTCCAGCACCCCTGAGGATTTAGAGCAAAGCCTGGCCCTGTCTTCCCACTCCCAGGATCTGGCTTTCCTCCTTTCAAGGAAGCCCAATAGGACTGTCCCCCATCCTTCACTTTGAGTTTAGATCCTCTTGCTTCTAGAATGTAATCAAATGTTATTTTTGGTGCAGTGCTGAGGACTGAATCCATGACCCCACACATGCTAAGTAACTCAGCCACACCATCGGTCAAACTGTTAATGATACAGTTGGACAGCTCAGACCTTTTGTTCATATCTACCCCTCTAGATTATAAAATCTGTACTTTGTTTACCAATACATTCCTAACATAAGCACATGAAAGCACTCAACAACCATGATAAAAAGATTTCGTATTTTAGAAGGTACTGCACATCAACCTGTAAAAAATATACTACATTTTAAAAATAGGAAAAGGCAAAAACAAGCAACACCCTACTCTTTGAAAAAATAAAATAAAAGCAACTCAAGCAAGCCAGGCCAGTGGTACATGTCTGTAATTCCAGCTACCTGAGAGGCTGAGGCAGGGAGATCATTGCAGTTTGAGAGTCAGAGGCCACATGGAAACACTGCAAGACCCCAATCTCTAAAATAAGGAGGAAAGAAAAGAAGTGAAAATACAAATGACCAACAAAACAAAAAAGTACTTCCTCATCACTGATATCAAATAAAAAATAAATTTCGAAATTAGAAAAAATTTTAATGTAAATTCTATAGGCACTATAAATATCTACTCAAAGACAATTTGTTCATTAAAATTTTTAATTGTTACACCTTTGACCCTGTTACTTTATTCCTCAATATTTCTTCCACAGATATAATTTCTCAAATATACAAGAATGTTTTATTGTGGAAATACTTATAGCAAAAGCAGACAGATTTCTGTGAGTTCAAGACCAGCCAGGGCTACAGAATGAGACACTATCTCCAGTAAGTAAAGAGGAGGGCTGAGAGAGTGTACAAGGTCTAGGGGGAGACGGCTCAGTTGCTAAAGAGCCTAGAAAAGAAGCATGCAAACTTGAACTTCGATCTCCAGCGTGCAGCTAAAAAGCTGGCTGTCTCTATGGTGGGGACTAAGCAATATCTCCCCTGCCCCATTCCAAGCTCCTAATGACAAACCAAAGTCCAATTCCACTGAAGTCCCCCTAGGAAATCAAGTGTTTATCAGGCTTACAGAACATGGATGAGTTCACGGGTGGGGTCACCAGAGAAGCATGGTTGACCTCAAAGCAGGTGCACTGAAGAGTCTGAACTCTGCATGGACAAGGGCTTCCCCACAGCCCTATAGATGGAGTGCCCATTCTCCTAGTCATCCTCTGCCAATATACTCTAACTGCTAGGCTAGCCCTTCTCTGGAAGTCTTGAGCAATTAGGGAAGGTTGCATACAATTGGCTAGGAGAGGCTAAATACTCAGGTGAGAATCCCAAGACCTTTCCACCCGCATCTTCCTATTAGGAAATGTCAAGAATCAAGAAGCACAGCTGTGATGATAGTTTGCAAGCAGGCACGGCTGGTGGTGGCAGTTTGTATAAAGGGCAGTGCTGTACAACACGTGCACTTGTAACTCCAGCACTGGGGAGGCAGAGACAGGAAAATCCCTGGGCTTGCTAGCTGCTAGCCTAGCTGCACACCATGTCTCAATAAGAGATTCTGTCTCAAAAAGCAAGGTGGGTGTTTTATTTGCTTTCCATTGCTATGATAAAACACCATGACCAAAAACTACTCGGGGAGAAAAGGGTTTATGCGACTCACAGGTTCCAGTCCATTACTGGGGAGAGATAGGGCAAGAGCAGAGGTGGGAACCATGGCAAAGTGCTGCTTATTGGCTCGTTTTCCATGACTCACTCAGCTGGCTTTCTTCTACACCCAGGATCACGTGTCCAGGAGTGGTACTATCCACAGTAGGCTGAGCCTGCTCACATCAACCATTCATCAAGAAAGTGCCCACCACCACTACCACCACCACCACCACCACGATCACCACACCACCACCACCATCACCACCACCACCATCGCCACCACCACCGCCTCCACCACCACCGCCTCCACCATCACCACCACCACCACCACCAACACCACCACCACCCCACCACCATCACCACCCCACCACCATCACCATCACCACCACCACACCACCACCACCATCACCACCACCACAACCACCACTGCTACCACCACCATCACCATCACAACCACAACCACAACCAAAACCACCACCACCACCACCACCAAAACTTGCCTACAGACCAATCTGGGGAAGACATTTGTTTGTTGGTTGGTTTGTTTGTTTTGTTTTGAGACAAGATTTCACTATGCAGCCTTGGCTAGCCTGGAACTCAGAGATCCACCTGTCTCTGTCACCAGGTCCAGCCTGAAGGCATTATTTTAATGGATGTTCCCTCTTCCCAAATGACCCTAGCTTATGTCAAGTTGACAAAATCTAATAAGCATTTCTTGAGGAACAACAGTGGAGGTTGACCCCTGGCCTAGACACACACACACACACACACACATACTGGGAGTGTAGAGCACCTGAACAGCATGTATGAGGCTCTGAGTTCAGACACCAGCAACCCCCAAAGTCAATGTGTGCCTCTCCCTGCAGAGAAACATACATTATGCTCTTAAATTTATCAAGTGATACTACAATATATACTATACATTCCCACCTCTGACTACATGTAACTATGTGAACCCAAGTCTAGAAGCATGCACACAGTTGGCTAGAAGTTAAATACCTCTCTGAAATGGGGTTTATGATAAGGATTATTACTATTTATTATGGCTCACAGTTTATAAGGAATATTGCAGCATAAGTAAACATCATGCAACATGAATATGCCTAGCCCTTCAAAACCTCTCTAATCCACTGGCTGCAGTTGACAGGCACTAGGTAAGGAATAAGTGAGAGCTGGCCACACGGACCCTTGATCCTCCTCTCCATCAGCAACCTGTACACGCGCACAAGACCCGGAGCACCATCCACTCCAACTACTACAGTTCCCAAACATGCCCGAACTTTCTCCTTCTCTGCTTCAGCTTGGGTTTTTATCACAATCTGTAATGGCCTTCTTACCCAACTCCCCTCTTCGCCCCGCAGACACATATCCCTGCTAAAATTCTGTCTACTGGTTTGGCAGCAACTAAATGCTGTATTTCTCATAGAGCCTTTCACAACCTTCCAGTCAGAGTTAAAAGCTACCTCCTCTACTCCTCTCATAGTTGTATTTATATTTTCCTTTATACTAACCACCATGTGCGATATTCTTCCGAGTACAAGTCAGGTCAGTCACCTTCAACTTGCTTGCCAACTAACCCAGTGCCTCTGACACTGCAGGGCTTCCCCAACACAATTGTAAGATGCTAACATTTCTTGGGGTTCCCCAGTCATGGTGGTGCTTGTATCATGGGACACTTCCCTAAAGACCAATTCATCATCACCTACTAACAGGAGAACAGGAGGACTGTAGGATTCAACCTGTTTAATGAGGCTGTTCTTTAAGAATGAAAAGGTGACTGCAGAATTGGCCTTGACATCTCTTAAGAAATTCTCTCAAATTAAATTACTGCCTAGGAACGCAGGTTTGTTATCAGACAGAGCTAGCTACCTTGAGCTCAACTTCTTGGGAGAGCCTTGGATCTTCTTAGAAAACTATTTCATTTCTATTTCTTCATGTGCAAAATGGGGGAAAGAGTACCTATACTTTAAGAGCTTTGTAAAAGTAAATAACAGTAAATGAAAATTAAATACAATTAAAACCTGTTTTAGTCATGTGTCTGAGTGTGCTATGTGCTTTCGTGTGCATGCATGCGTATGCATGTGTGTAGTTACAGGTATGTGAAAAGCCCAACCTTAAGTCAGAAGTTTTCCTCATTGTCACTCCACTTCACTCACTGATGCAGGGTCTAGAGATGACTAAAGGTTAGTCTAGCTAGCCAGCTCGCTCCAGGGATCCCTCACCTCCACCTTCGGAGCACCAGAATTACAGACGAGCCATGATACCCACCCAGTATTTCCAAGGGTTCTGGGAACTGAAGTCAGGGCCTCATACTTACACTACAGGTGTTCTAACTACTGAGCCATCACCCCAAACCCAAATGAATCTCATATATTTAGAGTGCCTGGCCCATGACCAGTTATCACCTCTTCCCACAATGCCCTGAACCTAGTCCACCTGTCATTTACCCAAGCACTCACTTCTGGACTGTCTCCAACACCTGACTCTTATGGGCAGGTTTCTCCTGCACAGCACTCCAATCCTTTCATCAGAACAGTAGCTAGTTCCGTGAACAAATGCCTCTGGGCTTCTATTTGCCCTTTGTAGGGGCGGTTTAAAAATGAAGGTATTTCTTGTCTGCTTCTATTCACTCCCCCAGAATGAAATCAACGTTAACCAATCTCTCTTACATCTGCTGAATCTATTATCCCCTGCTAGACGGGCTGCTACAGGTCCCTCAAAAAGCACTGGTTCTTAGAACTCGACAGAATTAGCCAATAAACTTTCGAGTCCGCAACACCACTACTTAAGCTCAGTATTTCTTCAAAGCCTAAATTTGGAGCAAAATAAGCAGATTACTATGAACTAAATGTGTAGAAACTGCAAAAAGACAAGCTAGTGTCTTGGACTGAAGAATCATAAGTGTTTTCCTTAATAGTGTGTATTTACATATTTCTTTAATTCCCAAGTTCAGGTGAATGTGACGTGATGTATAAGGGAAGATGTTTTGCCTTCAGTAAATAAGACAATGTGTCAAGCATACTTCATCTCCTCTAAAGCTCGGCAGGACCCACCTGGCCTTGAGAATAGACTTCCCGGACGCCCCTAAGCTTGGTCCTAGACCTAGCTGCCAGTGACCTGAGGACCGTCCACTGCGTAAACCCGGAAGATAGCGGCAGTACAGAGAAGCCGCTTCAGCTCCCATGCAGCCTGCACCCAGAAGCCCACCCCTTCCCCGCACTCACCACCAGCGAGGCCGTGAAGCCCGGCGTGTCCATGGTCTCACCAACCCCGCCAAGGTTAAAATCACAAGCTAAGCAAAAGCAGGTGCACACTTAAAGAGCTGGGCGCCGCCATGTTGGGGCGGGATATGGAGCAACTACTTCCGGGGCAGAACTCGTGACGTCACACCACAACAACAGCACGTGCATCACTCAGTGCGGGTTGCTGAGCCCTTTCGTGGAGGACCCTGGGGTCTGGAGCGTCTCGGGCTTCCCGCCCTTCCACAGCCGGCTCGCGATGTGCTAGGTAAGGGCCTCGCACAAGCAGGCTGGAATCTACGGAAGAGCTCGGAGGAGAGCCCAGTGCTGGCTGGAGGAAGAACTGGGACCTGGCGGCACTGCCCGTACCTGAAGGGCCAGCCTTGTGGTTTCCTACTTGCAGTCCAAGTCGGTTATTCCTTCGCTTGATCTGTGCAAGTTCTGTCTGGCTTTCTGTTGATCCAATTCCGGTAAAAAATGTTAAACAAAAATACGTTTTTATTACCAAAAAAAGTAGTATGCTCCATTTCTACTGACTTTATTTCCCTTTAAATTAATTTACTTAAAATGGGAGAGCGATCACTAGAGGCTAGGAAGGAATGAAGAGTGGAGGAAGCAACTATCAAAATACAATTAGATGGAGCCAGTGAGATCGCTTAGTAGATAAAGGTGCTTGCCATCAAGTCTGGAGGTGGCTACTAACAAATTACTATTAGTGCCAGTGAGATGGTTCAGCAGGTAAAGACTCTTGCCACCAATCCTGTGACCGGAGTTCACTTCTTAGGACCCATAGGTTGAAAGACAACCAGCTCCCACAAGCTGTCTCCTAACCACTACACCTACCCCATGGGGCACATATTCCAAATATTTATTATATATCATATTTTGCATATTGATATATTTTATTACATATTAATATATTGATAAGTAAATAAATAAAATTTAATACTTAAAAAAAACAGTGCAGCTCAATAGTGAGTGTAACTCAATGGTAGACTATGTGTTTACCTGGCAAGGCCCTCAGGTAGATGGGGGAAGACAGGAAGAAGTACTGCTTCTCTGTAGGACAGTAGGATTGCTAGTTTACAATTTACACAAGTGTTTGTGTGTGCGTTTGTATTCCAGTTTGTATTTGAGTTCTGTGGGAAATGAGATCTCACTGTAGCCTATGATAGGCTAGAAGTCACTATGTAGCGCTGGTAGCCTCAAACTCACAGCAGTTCTCCTGCCTCTGCCTTCTAGATATTGGGATTACAGATGTGTGACATTACACTTGGATAATAATTTAGATTTTCTTTCCAGAGCTTTGAACATGCAAGAGCAGCATTCTCCCACAGAGGCTGCATCTGTAATTCCACCTACCTGGTCACTGCTATGTATTGTATAGAGAACTAAAAGAAAATAGAAAATTTCAAAGATTATGCACAAAGAAATGATATTTAAGGAATTAGACATGCTAATTGCTGACTTAGCCATTTCACATTGTATGAATATATTGAATTATCACCCAGTACCCCAATAAATTTATACAATCACTGTGTTGGCCTCAGTGATTCATTTTTTGTTATTATACTGACTTCTGCCCCTGTGTCAACCAACCCTTTAACGGGTATACCATCTAAATGTACAGTCATTATCGGGGAGTAAGGAAACACAGGCAAGACTCCTGGCCGAGCAGGGCTCCCTCTTACTGGCAGGACTGAGGGATGCCCCTATTGTAGTTTAAACTCTCTTCCTGCTTTTGAAACCAACAATCCTTAGCCTAATGGAAACCTTGGTTACAACAAGGACATCTGGTCTTGGGCCTAGCTAAGGTGCAGTCCTATCTGAGGTGACCAGGCTTGCCACAGCTCCACTAGGTGCGATCAAGGGCCCTTCAGGGGGAGAGCATTTCCTCTGTACATGCTCCATGACCAAGGTTAATGTATGTCCTGTGGCCAGTAAGTATATCAAAAGAAATGTTAAGTATATATTCCAAATTAATCCTAGCTTGGGTCTCAGCCAAGTCATGCTATTCAGACCTCCAATTAAGAAACACAGCAGGGTGGAGCACTGTCTTAAGGAGATTATACCAACCATAATAGGTCTAGAGGTGCATGGCCCATTGCTTCAGTACTTGTTCAAAATATGGAGAATCTAGGCAAGAATCATTGGCAGCTTTTCTGATTAGTGCCAAGTCTTCCAGAGAAGCGGGAATCCAGGGCCTAGCAGCCATATCAGGGCCAAGATTGACAGGTAAAGCCTCACGATATACCTGAGGAGAATGAGGCCCCCAGGGGAGAGGCAGTCTAGCACAAAGGATGGGCATCAAAGGAGTGACCACTGAAGGAGCAACCACTCAAGGAGCGACCACTCAAGGAACAACCACTCAAGGAGCGACCACTCAAGGAGCGACCACTGGAAGACAAAGTCTCCCCTAAATCACGTCAAGGGTAAGCTGGTGGTACCTCCAATGGGATAGGAGCAGAAGGGCTAATGAGGGAGGGAGCTGGGACAGCAGGGATAGAGGACAGCTTGGAGCCTGATGGCTGGAGGGCTGGAGCAGAGACGCCCTCATCCTCATCACTAAAATAACTGTTTGCCCAGAGAAAGTGGGACAGGGTCATTAATGGAAAGATGAATATTGGCCTGATCCTGGCAGTGTTTGTTAAGGGCAGCTACCACTTCCTTTGGGGAGGAATTGTTAAGACTGGCTATGATTGCCAGGAGGATGGGGACAAAGAACAAGGGAGGGATTATTCTCAGACCATACCTCTTGCTTGTGGACAAGGAAAAGAACATGCATCCAGAAATCAGGGTCCCACATGTTCTCCAGTGATATCCAGGGGGCCAATATAGCAGCCTCCTCCCAAAATTGGTTCAGGTCGTGAGTCTTAACCTTGAGACCATGAGTAACCAGAAGGGTTTTCAGTACCCTAATCTAGGGTTCCTTGATGGTAGAGGGCAGGGAACCACTGATGACAAGCACAGAAGAAACAAAAAACTAACCAATATGACAAATATACAGAAGGCAAGGAAAATCACATACTAAGCAGGAGACTCCCTCAGGTGTAGCTCAAAGGCTCTATGTATACATGGTGTCCCCAGGATGGAAAAGGCATTCAGGAGCTGATCCCTGGTACCACTGCTTGGGAAAGCAGTCACTATGTCAGGTACCAGGATGAATCAAACCAAAAGTGAAAATGAGCAGACAAAGACAAAGAAGACAAAAAAGATGTCGTATTCTCCCCCTTGAACTAAGACCAAAAGTGAAAGGAAGTCAGTTGCCAGGGCAAGCAGACAAAGAAGAAAGAAAAGATGCGGTGGCATGCTCACCCTTTCACCAAGACCAAAAGTAAAAGTATGACTTTCACCAGGACAAACAGACAAAAAAGGCAAAGAAGACAGAAGTCAAGTCTGTATGCTTACCGGGCCAACCCACCTAAGAAGCAACCAAAGGGGGCATGACAGCAGCATCATGAGGAGAAGAACCGATGGAACCACAAGTACAGTCCTTGGAGCAACAAACAAAAGGGAGGCCCCCAGAAAGGGAGGTTCAAAAGCAGCCACAAATGAGGACAATGAAGTAATCCATCAACCACATTGGGCACCAGATGCTGCCTGTATCCTGGACTACTCAATGCCCAACCCTACATCCCTCCTCTCAATCCCCAAGTTTATGTAGAGGTGGCCACCACTCATCCTCCTACAACTGAGGAAATCTGGAAACTGCTGTTGACCCATTATCCTTGCCTCAGGCTAGGTATCAGGGCAGCTTCTGAGGCCTGGACTTGCCTGGACTTGCCCAGTTCTTAGAAACAGAGAATTAGGCCTGTCTCCTGAACTGCCAATTTGAAGCCTGTCTGGAGTCAGCCTGGCCTTCTCACTTTCTCCACATCAACATCAGTAAAAAGGCAGAAAAGGAAGGTTTCAGCACTCAGTCACATTTTATTGAAGAAGTACACGTCACACACACCTGGGAGAGGGAGAGAGAGAAAGAGAGAGAGAGGGAGAGGGAGAGGGAGGGGGGGGGGGGGGGGACAGAGAGACAAAGACAAAGAGAGACAGGGAGAGGACACAGAGAGAGGACAGAGAGAGGGAGAGTGCAAGGCACACAAAGAGACAGACTCCTCAGTATAGGGAGATCTAGAGCTGGGTTCAGATTTGTCTGCCAGATCCAAAACTTACATATTTGGGAGTACAAAGAGTTCCCTTCCTCCCTCAGAACTGGTTAGTCTGAGCTATTATTGAGAGTTGCATAATTCTGATGATGAGGGAAATAGATTGGTTTCTGCCCTAGAACCACCTCTCTCATTGGGATATTTGAAAATCCCACTGAAGAGTTAACTTCCCTTGGTGGAAAAAAAAAATCCACTCAGTCTTTGTCTTGTGAGATGGAGAAGTGTCGGAAAGTCAACCATCTTAAATGTTTGAGTGACAAGCACATTAAGCTGCCTAGAGCCTCTTTTACCCTGTCTGTCTGCTACCACGTCCAGCATGACTGCACGGATGGACCTGACTCGGGTGTAGAGGGAATGATGAAAAGACAAGCACAAATATACCCAGAAAATCTGGGATCAGGTGGAGTGGTTTCTCTGATGGAGAAAACACAGTACTCCAGAAGCTCAGCGTTTATTATATACAGTTGAATAGGGAGCCGGGGGTTATTGCATATAGCTGAATCAAGGAGGCAGGGTTATGGTTGCAACTGGACCAAGGAGATAGGTTTAACTAATTTAAGTAAGAGCTGTTTTTGTGGGGGGGGGCATTCTTCAGGCCATAAATATCCTGAGGGAGAGAGCTACGGTGGACAGTTTCTATACACACGAATTGTTGGGGTCCAAGAGTCACCCCACAAACCACTCAATCTCAGCCAGACAGGGATGGTCTATTCAATACATACCCTAATACTGATTGATTAGGACCTTAGCTCAGAATTCAGGGACTGAAGACAGTGACAAGCATCCTTCTAGGTCAGCATATAAAGATTAAAACTGCAAAACCCACCATGAGCTCATATTCGGGAGCAGGAAGTGCTGCCCAGTGGTCAGCTCTGACTCAAACCATTTTAGACATACCAATTCATATTGACCTTTGATTTGATGGGTGCTACATAAAGCTTTGTGGAATTTCATAAGATTAACAAACCT